GAGAGAGTGAGAGAGTGAGAGAGTGAGTGAGTGAGTGAGTGAGTGGGTGGGTGAGTGGGTGAGTGGGTGAGTGGGTGAGTGAGTGGGTGACTCTGTATCCGGTTAGTTGAGCCTTTTTGGTCTTCGCAGGCAGTGCGCATTGCCACGAAGTGCGGGAGGATTTTTTAGGTTTGACATCGCAGATATGGGATGGGTCGTTCAACCCTCCAGATGAGACCGACACCAGGTGGTTCATCCCGAATGGTCAGGCATTTAAACCCTTTTCACATGTCCGTGTCAGGGGAGACGATAGAGGCCCAAAGGACCCGAGTTCTGACCATGAAGTTCAGAAAGAGTACAGCCGGAGTGACTAGAAGGAAGAAATGCAACCGGAGAAGCACCAGGGGTTTTGCCTCCACGTCTGAAGTCTCGATTTCAAATCTGGGAACCCCGACTTTCATTCGCACAGCCTGCCCACTTAAAGACACAACATGAGTGCGTCAAAATTTCTAAGCGAGCCAGCGCCACCACTGGAAGCAACCAATGCATGAGATTGTGAGCGATGCCTCAGAAGTCTCTGTAAATATATTCTTCACTGATCAGCTGCAAAGGGCTGACATCCCGACATTCCGAAATATTTGCCCAATTGCCTTCACTCTCGCACACACTCACACTTTTGATGTTCGCGCACGCCAGCCTGAGTTAAAAAACCTGAGATGCCAGGAGGATAGGTAGGAAGTTAAAGGCCTTTGCTTTTAGGTTGGAGGCCAGCGCAACGAGTTTACCACAAGTAGCTGTGCCCACCCCAACTCTGCAGACTGAATAGGAAAGCGTCCAGTCTGACAGAGTGGACGCGCCGGCCCTAAGGGCAACCGGCATAGAAACTACTAGAAGGGCACCAAAAATAGGAAGAGGCCAGAGCAACGAGGTGACGGGTTAGGAGGCCCACAAGACACAAAGCAGCAAAAAAAAGAAAATCAAATTCTAGCTCGCGACTCCAAAAGTTGTTCAGCAACATCGTGGTACACTTCAACACTTGTGCTTGTCATACGTTCCAACAGGATCCTGTGATTGCAAGGGTCACACACACACGCCTCCCCGAAGGGAGGCAAGAAATTCAAAGGTCTAGGCGATTGTGTACGTGTGTGCGCAGTAAGACTAACGAGCGAAGACATGAAAAGAGGACAAGACGGGACAAAGGTGTGTGTGTGTGTGGTTGCGATGAAAGGGAAACCTCATTGTAAAGACCTGGGCGACCTGAAACCTAAGTTGAAGTAGGTTGTGCGCGTACACACCAAGGCCGGGACCCATGTGCGTGCAAACGAAAGAAAGGATGAGATGACCAGACATGAAGACAGGAGGACATGAAAGAAAAGAGGAGGAAAAGGTGTGTGAAGGGGAAACACGATGAAAAACGGGAAACCAAATGAAGGGGACACAAACCGATGAAAGCCAAACCTCATTGAGAACCTGTTGCAAAGACCTCGTTTGAGTGTAGGTACACTGTGCATGAGGGAGGGAGGGGGGGGAGAGAAAGGAGAAAAGAAGGAGAAAACGACGGTGTTCCCAGCTACGACACAAGCGTCCAAGGACACACCAAGAGACCCAAGCAAGAAGGAAGGGGAAAGAAAGGAAAGAGAAGAAGAGAGAAAGAGAGAGAGAGAGAGAGACCAAGAAGGAAATTGGAGGAGAGAGAAGGAAGAAGGCAGGTGTTCCCAGCTACGAACAAGCGCCCAGGGACACACCAAGGAGAGGGGTGTGCACCTGAGTGTTGCATTCGGAAACAGCCCAAAAGGCAAAGAGGGAAGAGGGGAAGGGTAGGGGTCCCGACAGGTTCCAATGAACCTCGACCAAGCTTTGGTCGCTGCGACCACGTATGGCCTGCCCGAACGCTGCCACCTTTGACCGCTGCGGTCGCGTAAAGGCATGAGCCAGCTTGGGATTCATAAATTCGACAAAAGTGCTTTGTATCCAGGCAGGGGATACGTTCGACAAACACCCGTTCGACGGGTCCACAGAAGCCACTCTTCGGGGTCACCCTGGGCTCTCACTAGGAGAGACACACTTATGATGTTTGCGTACTGACTGGACAGGGTGCCACACGCCAGCCTGAGTTAAAAAAACCTAAGATGCCAGGAGGATAGGTAGGAAGTTAAAGGCCTTTGCTTTTAGGTTGGAGGTCATCGCAAGGCCGTTGGAGGTCAACGCCTAAGGTTGGAGGCCGTCGCTGGTAAGTGGTAGGTTATATGCACAAGCTAAACAAAAGTTACAAGTAGTAGGTTAAAGGCCATCGCTTTTAGGTTGGAGGTCCTTGCAAGGCCGTTGGAGGTCAACGCCTAAGGTTGGAGGCCAGCGCAACGAGTTTACCACAAGTAGCTGTGCCCACCCCAACTCTGCAGACTGAATAGGAAAGCGTCCAGTCTGACAGAGTGGACGCGCCGGCCCTAAGGGCAACCGGCATAGAAACTACTAGAAGGGCACCAAAAATAGGAAGAGGCCAGAGCAACGAGGTGACGGGTTAGGAGGCCCACAAGACACTAAGCGGCCAAAAAAAAGACAACAAAATCAACAAATCAAAATCTAGCTCGTGACTCCAAAAGTTGCTCAGCAACATCGTGGTACACTTCAAGATTTGTGCTTGTCATACATTCCAACAGGATCCCTGTGATTGCAAGGGTCACACACACACACTCGAGGCTTTCCGGTTTCCAATCTAGTCCTTTAGCTATTTTGCTCTTTCTGACCAGTTTTGGCCTTCGCGGCCAGGGCTACAACATCTCCTTCGAAGCTCTCGCCTTTGCGCGGAAGCTTCGCCGGCGGGGGAGCCTCAGCAGTTCGCACATTCCGCTCGGGCCGCGCCTCCGTGCTCACAGGCCTTGCCGTCTCCTCTTCCAAGTTCTCCAGGTCTGCGAGGCGTTTTGAGCCGGCCGATGGACGGGCAAGGTTCCGTCGGAACACGGCGCCCCGCCTGTGCCTAGCGACGGCGAATCGGACTCTCCGCGTTCCCTTTGCTGCCGCTTGCGGCACCGCAAGGCACGCAGGAACACATCGTCGTCTCCGGATGCGCCTCAGGCGCGTGATGTGGCTTGATGCACTTCTGAATTAGTACTCTACAAGTTTTGGGGGAACCTGCCTTCCGGGTCCGCTCTCGCAGCGGTCGCTTCTTCAGCTGCCTCTCGTGCAGTCATCTTGTTTTCTTCTTGGCTTGCGGGGACACTGTGCTCCATCGCCCCGCCTGCATCTTCGTGTTCTTTACGTGCCTCAGAGCGCGCACGCGTGTCGACGAAGCGTCGGGCACGACTGCTGTGCGGCTGACCTCTGCCAACGCCGTCTCTGCGGTGTTGTTGGCCTCTGCTTCACCCCCATGGCGTGCGTGCATTGTCTTCTTTTGTTCGAGGTTCTGGCCCGCTGTTCCAACCGCCAGTTTGTATTGGTCAGGGTTTTTACCCATGCCAAGCGCACGTCGTCGTCCGTCACCTGCAACCGTTGGACGGAGCTCGGCGGCCCAAAGTAGGCTTGGTGTCGGGTATTGGAGAGTCTGGGTGTATGCTGTCTTTCGCCTTTTTCCCATCACACTTGACTGTTCGGGCGCTAAATCTTTATTCGGTGTGGCCGCCCTTTCTGTCATTCTAGTTCCTGTTCTTGTCACTTGATGCCAATTCAGGATCATCATCAGGAGGTCCAGGAGGACCGAGTTGTACCTGCTTTGGGCTTGTTTCTTCCGGGTGAGTGAGTGTAGAGTGAGAGTGAGAGTGAGTGTGATCGTGAGCATGTGTGAGTGAGAGTGAGAGAGAGCACAAAGTGTGAAATCTGCACTTTGAGGTTCACAAAGTGCTGCGCCTGCCACGAAATCTGCGCTGGGAGGTTCACAAAGTGCTATGCCTGCCACGAAATCTGCACTTCGAGGTTCACAAGGTGCTGTGCCTGCCACGCACTTTGAGGCTCACAAAGTGCTGTGCCTGCCACGAAATCTGTACTTCAAGGTACCTGCCACGATTTCTGAAAACCTCCCACATGTAGAAAGTCACGATTCACTGCACGGCACCACAACGAGAGCACAGTCGCGACAAGCACCCGCCGCGGCCAAGCAGATTTTGCGAGCCTGCGCAGCCGAAATGCACGTCGAGCATTTTGAGAGGCATGAATGCACTGGCCGCGCCCGACCGCGCAACACCTCGATTACACACCGGTGCTTAACCCTTACCTTAAGAACCTCTAGTCCACACTTTTGGGGGAATAATCATGGAAGTCAATGGATTTTCCATGCCCCTGGACATCATTCTTCTCTACAAACAGGTGGTCTTTTTTCTCCACTTCCATGTTCACGACTCGGAGAGTATGCATGACTACCTAGTATGTCCACACCTCGTCATCGTGGCGCCTCCGCTGCCCTCGGCGCGAAGGCGTCCGCCTTCGCGGCGGACGCCGCCTTCGCGCGGCGCGTCAGCTGCGAGGCGCTCGCCACTCGAGTTACGGTGCGGACCTTGGAATGACGGAAACTATAAGACGGGTTCCGGTGTGGCATGTATGGGCAAATGGACAGTGCTAGAAGCATCATTGGAAGCAAAATCAGGTGGAAAGTCGATGAACTCAATCCCTTTTTTGCTTAATGTTTGTTCATTTGTGCTTTCATTCTTTTGGCAACATGTTGAGACAGTCTCACTTGGAAGCGTGGAGCCTCCAACGCCAGTGTCACGTTGTTGGATGGTCATCGCGGGGAATTCAGCAAGGTCTCTGGGAAAGAAACACGCCGATTCTGGAGACACATGCGTGAAACTTGAGGATCCCTTCGGACAAACATGTGAAGCATTGTGAAGCATCCTTGTGCTCACAATCACCCAGAACACAGCGAACATGTAAAGATTCCTCCTTAAACCAACAAACAGCATATCAAGAACATTCAAGAACGAATTCCCCATCAGAAGCGTCCAAGAATTCCCCCGGCCATCTCGGGGGGGGATCCGTAAGTGGCCGATGTCTCTTCAGTTTGGAGCTTCGAAATGGACAGATCCGACTTCTCAACTCACCAAAAGGCTGTTCCGTCGCTCCGGCGCAGGCCGATGTTCACATAACCTCAGGACCACGGCGGGTCGTTGTCATAGTCCAACACAGGAAGGCTCGACGTGTTTTCTTCTTTTTTCCGGTGGGATTTCGGCCGAAGACGTATGAGTAGCATTGATTATAGGAACGTTGTAGGAAGCAAAGCAACCACAAGACGGGAGAGGCGTGGGACTTTGGTAGAACCCAAACACTCCAAACAGCCCGACAGGTCATTTTATAAGCGGGGATAGCTTCGGGTCCGGACCTTTTGAGAGGATTCGGGTCCGGCCCGGGTCCAGGGTCGCGTCTGGGAACATATCTTGGACTTCAGTTGAAGAGTCCAACGATTCTAATGGTGATGGCTTTAGTTCGTCCAACATATTCGAGGGTGAGATGCGGGTGAAGCACATAGATGATCATAGATGTCCCAAAAATCAAGGGGAACATAACGACATCCCATTGGTGGGCAACACAGATTGCAGGTAACTGGCAAAAGGCGATCATTGCTCGAAAAGGAAGAAAGGAACAGCACTGCAGAAAAAAGAAACACACTTTAGCCTAAGGCCTACGAGGACATTCTCGAGATATCTTGAGATCATCTGCATCACCTCGGACCTCGATCTCAAACCACTCGTTGAGCTTGGATCTCGCAGTTTTGTTGGGCGGATGGCATCTGCACCGGACCAAGTGCGGCAGATCCTTCTCGACACATGGATGGAATAGGAGACAACTTTGCTACCTGGATCGTTCGGTCTCAAATTCTTTGAACTCCACATGGAGCTGGAGCTCCTAAAGGATCGTGGTAGCAACATACGGCAAAAAACATCCTTTCTTGGTGAGAGAGATGTCTTCGAAATCTGCAGCGAGCTCAATGGAGCTCTTTTGATTGAAGGGCTCCTTTCAGTCCAAATCCTTCCGACCCAAGACAACGAATTGACGAGGTGCTTGATTTCAGCTTGTAGAACTTGGCGGCAGCACTACCTGAGGACGGACACTTGGTGGCTGTTCGGTATGAACTTAGCGACGACATGCGACGATCGAAACAAACATCCTCGAACGTTCAAAGATCCACAACTCCTCCGTTGTTCCGATTGTCAACGACTGAGCAACAAACACATCCGCAGGTTGCCTGCGAATCCTCATTTTTTAAACAGGCAACCTGCGGCAACCTTGCCAGCTTGTGATCCTTCACCAAATATGTGAAGCATGGTGCTCTCAGCTGCAGTCCTTGTCGTTAGTGGTCTTTTAGATATCAGGACGAGTAGTGACCATCCTCAATTTTCATAGCTAACGTGGACATCCTGCTCTGCTAATGCACGACATCCTTCGATGGACGGGCAAACACATTTGACATCATTTGACCCATGCATATATATAGCATACATGTTTGACATCATTTAACCCATTTAGCGGTCATCTTTATAAACTTTAGCTTCAAGCTTTCTAGAAGTTGATTGACACGCCAAGTAAGTGTGTTTAGTTTAGTTTTCCTCAGTCAGCATAGTCAAAACGATGACCACTCCTATAGCGACTAGTAACAAGGGCATCGCTACTAGTAACAACTGCATTACTACTATAGAAGCTGAACTAACATTCACAGTCGTGGAGCTAGGAGCAAAGGGCATCGCTACGAACGGAGCGATCGGACGCTACGAACGGGGCTCCTGGCATCGCTACTATGGGAACAAGAATGCTACTAGGAAGCTCCGTTGCCCACCTGCCATCTCTACAGGTTTCTCGATTCGATCGACCCCTCAACCAAGCGACTCGGCCGCGAGGGCGGCAGCCGCGGCTCCGGCCTCGCAGGCCGCCGCTCCGGCGACACGGAGCCTGAAGGCGGATTTCGGTGGTGGAAGTGCCCAGTGGGACGTGCTTAGTGGGGATCATTTCAGGTTGTGCTTGTGGGTGTTGGATGGTTTTGATATCACATGATGTGCTTCTTGTAAAACGTTTTACAGTACATTGTAGGTATGTAGTAACATACAGGTGGTATGCAATATATACGGTGTCCGTGCAAAGGGGCGCGTCCTTGCCCCAACCGATCTTGTGAAGAAGGTGTTCTGGTGGACGTGCTTGATTCTTTTTCAGGCTTCATGCCCTGCTTGCTTGCGTGCTCCCAGGACGTTAGGTCGAACCCAGGACGCCTCTTTGGCAAAAAGAGCACACAGAAAACTCGGGTCCAGTGAAATGTCATCTTCATGTTTCACATGCAACACATTTCCTGAAACTGCCTTGGGGTGTGCACCTCCGCGCAAATTCGGGAACCGTTGAACTAAACCACGAATATGCACGCATGACTTCGAACACTCGTCCCGTCGTTGTGTTGGCAAGGCAGTCTCTGAACATCTAAATATAAAGACTCCCAAAAAAAAACCATTCCTTGCACTCCGTTTCCCCACCTCTTGGTCTTTTCGGATGTGTCAGACACCGGTCTTCCTCCCCGTTGGACGTCGACCGCCGTCTCCGCCTGTCCGCGGGGAGGCGGGAGATGAGGCACGGAGCTCACGGAGATCTGGTGAGGTGGACTTGTGCTTCCAGGCGCCTCAGCGGCGAGGCGACGACACGGATGGGTCTCGTGGTGTGGCCCAGGGTGTGGCCCATGGTTCTTGAGGGGGGAGGGCATTTGGGAACCCTGACTTGACAGTTGATGGACATGCAAGTAGGAAGAATGATCAGAAGGCGCCAGGGGTTTGGCTGTTTTGCCACAAGAAGATCCTTCGGCTTCGGGGCTGTTGTTTTCACACTTTTCACACTACCTGGTCATAGTTTGATTCCCAAATTGATTCATTCCAAGAAACTTCCTTTGCTCCCAATCATACTCGGTCGAGTAGCCCAGAAACTCTGATCCCAAATCGAACAAACTCCATGGGTTTTCATGGCGCAACTGTACCACCGATCTGCCTTAGTGGAGTGCAACCACCGAATTGTAGCCAGACTCAGCCAAGCAGCCATCCTTCAGCTGCCTCCTCAGTCATGCCGAGCAAGTCGGGTAGCAAGCTTGCAGGGACTTTGCTTCGCAAAAAATGGTGAGTATCTCATCTGGCCCAATGGTTGTTACTCCGACTTCATTTTGCAAAAATCCGCATCATCCCTTTGATCCCACCAAGGATAGTCTGGATTGCTTCAGCACCAGCAGTGGGTCCTATGCTCTGATAGGAATAATAGGCACACCTTCCAAGTGGCGAGTGGGGAGTGCTCAAAGGGTACTGGACCGCGATATCCAAGGCTTAGCAGTGAACCCCCACATGAACATCTTTTCGGCTTGAGGGAATGCAAAACATCTTCCTGGACCTTAACAACCGAGACTAGTGCCGATGGTTCTCCCTTCTATTTGGCAAACATCACCATGATATCATGGAGACGGATTGTCTCTCACGTGTGCACGCTCCAAACAGAGCGGTCGAAACGGTCCATTCTTAAGATTCACCATCACCCCAAGCCTTGAAGGGCCCTGTGCAATCGGTCTTGGGTTGTGAAAGCTGCGACCCACTGGGAGTCGACAGGAAGGTTTAAACACTAAAAAACTTGAATTCAAGCTCTCTGAAGAGAAACACCTTAAAAAAGAATTTGCATTCTGCAAAGGATGAGATCCTTATCAACAAGAAGATCTTGGCAAGGATGAGGATCAAACACCTGAGAAACTTTAAGTGGAAAGGTATTTTAAAAAGAAATCACTATCAGTATTTCCAAGGATGACAACCCCACAACAAAAATATGCACACAATGTGTTTATAAAGGCTGTAGCCACTTGTGGAAGTTTTGGCTGGCCGCAAAATGCAAACAACACCACGTACTTACGCTAGCTAGCAGCATGTTGTAACAAGCATGGGAGAGTAGGAAAAGGACAAAGAACATGATAACCTTCGACTAATGATAGGTCACAACTTGTATTGAGCTCCCATAAACCCAAAACATACACAAACGCAGCTATGTAAATGAGGGTGTCTTTTGAAAATGATTGATCCCAAAATCCGCAAAAGAGAAGACCTTCAAATTAATGAAACAGCACGGTGAAATAGCATCATAATATGTTAAATATATGCATATATTTATATAGGACAAGGCATTCACACAGGAATACAATACTCTTCGAAGAAGGATGCCCTTTGCAATGAAACCACATGTGAAGAAAAGAACTCTGCAACAAAAATATGTGGCTTTGCAAAGACTCGCATTTATGACAAATGCCGAATGCCATTTGCATTTGTTTGATTAGTAGAACACTGTTGTGTAGGAGGACGCTTGTCTGAGCAAAATACTTGGGTTTGGAAGAACCAACAACAAAAGTGCAAGAACATATTTTACCAAGCTGACTTTGTTTTATACACGGGCGTGTTTTCAACAAGGAAATACTTTTGCAGGAACAACCGAAACAACTGCAGCTGAAATTCAGTCGAAACTACAGAGTTGTACTGTGTTCTTCACAAAAACACTCCGTCCAAAACTTATATGTTCCTGGGATAGGGGAATGAAAAGTACAAAACCAATCAATCCTAAAAACAGTTTCAGAAAAATACGCCATAGCGGCGTTTTTTAACGAGGAATGCATTGTTAAATGCGTGGCGAACGGTTCTCGTTGAACATTTTTGGGGGTTCATGGGAACCGTTTTGCAACCAAATCCTCCAGTTCTGGGAAGGTTTTGGAGGGGGTCTTGGATGGAAGCATGCAGTGTCAGGTTCGTAGTGAAATAGGGTGTGAACGTAACATGTCAACGTGTGAATGATGAGCTTGCTGCGCAGGAGCAGCACTTCGTGAGGTCAGCTTTTCGTTGCAGTGCCATGGAGATTGGCGTTCACAGGGTGGTCTTGTAGAGGTGATGAAAGTCGCTTTGCCACTAGGACTTCCTCTTGAAGTGCTTGCCTTGGAGCTGCGTTATCGTTTTTAAGTCTCAGCTAAACGTGTGATTTTGAGTGATCTGGGTGAAACAGCAACGGCTCGAAATCATGACAAACAGGTTTCATGGTGGACGGCCAGCGGCAGGCGCGGTACTTTGTGCGTGTTGGAGGTGGGATGCTTCCGTGTTCTGACCAACTCAGATGTTCTGACCAAAGAGGTCTCCTGAAATGGGAAGAGGATCATCAACGTCCAACTGCTCAAAAAAAAGGAATTCAAACAAGAAAACACCTAAGAACCAAGCAGTCTTTGTTACTTTTTGGCTCAAAGCCACCCTGGGACAGCGAACTTCCAGGCCACTGAGACCACTGATCCACCGCCGAGCTGCAAGGCGAGACTCTCACGACCTCCGTCCGTGGGGCGATGCGCGCGCGCGTACAAAAGGGGTTCGACCGGGAGACGAAACGCCGCCCAGTCAAGACCTTCGGAGACCGCTCCATCAGCCCAAGCCAAATGATGGAGGCCGGATGAGTTGGGCCTAGCATGGTGTTCAGTAGACTCGGGCCCTGTTTCATCTTGCTCAGCTGTCTTAAACCAAATGGTGGCTCCCTGCCTGCAACATTGCTTTACCAGCAGGGGGCCTCATTACTTATGCATATCTTTTCAGTCATAGTCAGCCATTTCATTCACTGCAATCTTGGACTTCTCATATATGTTGCTCATCACCTGTGTCCCACTACTGCCTATTGGGAGCATAGTATGCCTCGTAAAGAAACAACTGGCACCATTCGTTCATCCGCCATTGGCGGAAGACTGTGCGCATGGTATCTGCAGAGTCTGTGCGCACCCTGCCACTGGAAGTAGCTTTCGGTAACGCCTTCCTGCAACTGACGCTTCCCCCTCCTGAAACTCTAGAAGCCTTTGGAAGCTGCACAAGAAGCCAAACACCCGACAAGCAAACGCATATAATCTCCTCCCTTGTTCCAATTAAATAACAAACGCTGCATCAATTGCAATGATTTCTGATTTCCAGCCTTGTTTTCTGCTACCTGGAGAGCTCTGCACTTGACTGATCCCGCATAGTGCCTTAAAAGGGTCTCCTTGAAATAGCTTCTTCAGCTATACTCTTTTGCTGGCGTAGTTGGCCTGAAATCTGATCAAAGTCATGAGAATGGAGACATTCGATTGGCCAGTCCTTGGTTCAATTCAAACCAGACCAAGTGCCCAACAAAGCTTCTTAGAATGCAGCTTCAAAGACCTTGAAAGGATCACAAAACCCAGCGAACCCAGCTCCCCATACTCCCAGCCATGCGCCTGGAGGGTCATCACTGGTGTTGTCGCAATGCAGCAGTTCCGCCTTAAATCGAAGAGGGGCGGGCGCAGCGAAGGGCGAAGGAATGAAACCATTGGGTGAATCCTCCAAATCAACGCGAAGAAACACGCCCTTATACCTTGTGATATCCTTTAAGGGCAGCTTGGGACGGAAACACACCATTTTGGTACCAGTACGAAGTAAACACCAGTCTATCTGAATTTACAGGCCAACAGCCTACAAGTACCAACATGTAGAGCGCCCTTTTCTTGAGCCAAACATAGAGGTCAATATGGTATGTACAGGTGTACAATCGTGCAAATACACCCCCCGCTGAACGCACTTGGCAGCAAAGGTAGTGAAGAACTCTATACACGACTATGTACACGGGACAATGCGCATACCTTTCTGACCTCCGGTTCCCCGGTGTTTCCCTCGTGGTTAACACCGTACGCGCCTATGGCTTTCATAGATTCTTTGCCGACCTGAGGCGCAAGGGAACGACGATTAACTCGATTAATTTATGAAGTCAACTGCCGAACGGACGATCGAAGACTGGACGCAGCGCTTTTCACATGCATCCGCAGCTCGTCAAATTGGAAATGGGCCTTTTACGTAGGCACACGTTTCCACGCGGCATGCTGAGAGATGCTTCCTTTTAGGAAGAGTGCACTTCGGCAAAACGAATTAAAGCCTTGCAAAGAATGCGGACAGCCTCAAAGAAGTTGAACGTGAGGCTACTGCTTCCGCAGAGCGTGCAAAGGCTTTTGAGAGCCTATTGACACCTAAAAAGGGCAATGTGCGACCACAAGCACTGAATAAAAAGAATGGCACAACTACCGTTAGGCATCGGCTCCCGCCGTGCATTGGTGGATTTCATCGTCCGTGACGCCACCAATCCGCTCCATAGTTGTCTTGATACCATGTCCAGTCTGCGTAGTGCCATCCCGGAACGGTACCAACGTCATCATCGAGGTCCCTCCAGTCACGGGCCCACCGATTCCTTGGGTAAGGTGCATTCTCACGGGTCTGTCGACCTCCGTGACGCCATGTGCCCTTACCTTTCCCTTTTGCTCGATCGACACCCTCTCTTTCCGGAACATGGATGTTCCTTGGGTCTGCTCGCGCGAGGTTCTCATAGGACGGGATGCTCTGGAGGTCGGATGACAGCCATCCAACAAACTCCGTCTTCAGCTTCTCTACGTCCTTCTCTTCCGAGAGGAATGAACCAGAGAACCCCAAGACTTCAAAGCGGTGATGTTCCATCGCGTACAGTCCGACAAAAACACCAGGGCGTAGGATCTTGTTCTTCCAGAACACAAAGACCTCGTTCGACACATCGACTTCACGCTGTGATGTGTCGGGGATCATCAAGATCTTTGCTTTCACGTTGATGCCTACCCCTTCTTGGATTTGTTGGGCGGTGCGCGTCGGAATGGGCAATACCGCTGAGCTGAGCCGTTGCAAAAACTTCAAACAGTCAGGAGACATGTCCTGCGCCGCGCAGTTGAACGCGTAGAATGGATCCAAGCACAACCGCTCTGTGAGCGAGCCAAATTCCAATTTGGACGCTTTGTCCATGTGCGACTTGGCGTGTGCTCGGATTGTCGCAATGGCAGATTGTCCAGTCCTGATCCTACCACCTGCAGGATTCCTCAGCCCACGGTCCCCCCGGGCACGAATATCGTCATCCGGGAACATGTCCAATGACAAGTCGAAACCGAAGCTTGCGGCCAAGTTTTCAAGACGGACAAGCAGCGATGCCTTCCTCATATCCGTCGCCACACGAGCTAGTCGTCCACAGTTCAAGCACGACAAACATCCGAATGGGGAATCGGATCCACAGTCCATGCAGCGCTGTGGCTCAACATCGTGTTGACGAACGGTGATCCACCGTGAAGTGAAGAACTTTTCGTTTCCTCGAGGATCATAGCGCATCTCCATCTCAGGGGTCCAATGCGCCCAATCAACTGATCCCAGCGAGAGAGGCCATGCTGAGTTGTTGGGGGCATCGCCTTCCGGCTGCCATGCAATCGCCATGTACGGAGATACGTTCCGATATTGGCATCTGCATGCTCGAGCTGATCCTTGCAGAATTCACGGTTGTATGATTCGAGGATGAATGCATTTTCCACCCAGGCTCCACGTACCCATTTCTCATATTTTCCGAACAGGTCCCACCTTGACCTTGCCAGCAATGACTGCCTTCTTGCGTTGTCGTCTGCCTCATCACCACGGTCAAGCCGTTCCCGGCGACGCGCGACAATGTCTCGGAGATCCTGATTGAATGAGGCTCTCTCCTTTGCATAATCGTGGTTCGCATAGATGAAGCACTTCGCTGACACATCATACGCATAGATGAGGAATTGGTTCGGAACCCAATCGGTGGTCACAACGGCCTGGCTTTGAGTGACGGCGAATCTGATTCCATATGCCACCGCCATCTCAACATCAACTGCGACCGCAACTGGTCTAGTCGAGGCCATTCCTGCTTGACTCGTCTTCTGAATGCTCCACGGATCGAAAGCCGAGAAGTACGAATGAGCCTTGCTAGTCCTGAGTCCCCCCGGACAAATGCCACATCGGATCAGATCATCCAAGAAGGCGATATGAGTGTAGTGGTACAAGATCTTGGGGTGAATGTCCTTGAGGTGCAAGTCAAGTCGTACTGGAAGCGTAGGATGCTCCCTTCGCAGCAGGCGTTCGATCGTGAACGACGGATCAAGACAGATGATTCTGTCGACCTCAGGCCACGCCATGTTGATGTTCTCCAGAATCCAGTCGTTGTGAGATTGGATTGCCTTGATTCGCACCGGCAGGAAGAGATACTTATCAGCGAAGAGTTCCCCCTCGCGGGCGAGCTGCACATCGAGCATAAACCTATGGTTTGACGTCACGATGTCAATCAAGTCCGACACAGTGAGGGAGCGAGAGTACCTCCTCTTGATGAATGAGAACACCGATGCAAAATCCATCCATGCTCCATCTTGGAAGTCCGGAAGCGGAATGCGATCTCGTCGATTGGCATGGTTATGCCCTCGCAGCAGGCCGGAGACACGCTTTGAAACAAAGAACTGCTCCTGGTCATACCATCCGATCACCGCGGCACCAGGCACTTGGTTTGCCGGCATTGTCGTACGGATCGGAGTTCCTCCTGCTGGAACCAATTTGGGCGCATCCCTTCCGGGGGCCGCAGAACTCGATGCTGCGGCTTTGGTCACGGATGATGGCTTTGGCATGTGTTTCGCCTTGGGAGGATTGGCAGAAGATGATGATGTCCCTGCCGTTTCTTCCATTTCAACGTCGACCACCTCTGATGAGCCTTTCTTGGCTCCGGCTTCCGCCGAGCTGGACATGTCGACATTCACGACTTTGTCACCAGTTCGGAGCTTCTTGAGGCTGTCTGGCGCTGCCTTCGCCTTAGGAGCTGCACCGAGATCAACGGCAGTCTTTCTTTTGAGGGCAGGCAGTTCCTCTGCGACCGGGCGGTGAACTCCGTCCTTGTCCCGTTTGTATGGGCAAGGTTCCGCCGGTGGCGGCGGTGGCGGGAGTTCATCATCGTCTCCGTCATCGTCGATGAAGTGCAAAGGAAGAGTTCTGCCTGTGACCGCCTCGGTGTAATGGCGCAGGGCGTTGCTCGACGTGGAAATTGCTCCATGCGGGTTCCTCGAAAGATGCAATGCACCCCCTTCGAGATATTGGGCTGCATAGATCTTGTTGAACTTCATCTTCTCGGCAACGCTTTCCAGCGCGCTTGAACCTCCGACGATTTGCTGATTGAAAACAATCTCTTCATCATCGGATTCAAGAGCGTCATCCTGCGGGTCCTGGTAACCTTCGGCAAGGGCAGTCTTGTAGTGATCGCCCACGATCTCAATGATCTCATCGACAGTCTCAGGAGGTTGGTCGATGTCCGATCTGACACGAAGGTCTGACTCTTCAATCTCTACTGTGGACACGTGTTCCCAAGCGCTCTTCTTGCCGGCGTTCACGCTCATGAGCTTCTCGTCAGGGCATGAATCATTTGGCTCAGCAAGAAGTGTTGTCTTCTGAGTTGGATGAGGTTCGTCATCAGGGTCATAGTCCGGAACGAAGTCATCCTCTACAGGGTCGTTGACGCTTGAGTCCTTTTCAGGTGATGAGGTGATGTCAACAGTTGGCTCACCAGTTCCCTGGGGCACAATGATTCCAGCCCGCTCCAGTTCCTCCGGAGTGGCCTTCAAGTGCTCGCCAGTGATTTCGTCCAACAGCGCCACCTCGTGACCGTCGGGGTACACGCATGTCTTGCAAAGGTTGGGTTCGATCATGATCTTGTTCTCAGGGAATCGGTCATGCGGCTCGAGAAACACGTAGGACGCACGATATCTATCTCGGGCCTCGGCTTCCGCACGGGCTTTCTCCTCTTTCGGAGTCATGACAGGTTGAAGGCGAGCTTGCTTCCGCAGCGCTTCACAGTCCTTCAATCGCCACATCTGGTATGTGAGTCTTGCCATGGCGACGAAGTAGCGATAGTAAGCAGCCCTGTTGCTTTCGCTGTCCTCTGCATGGAACCCATCGTAGCGAGTAGTGGCACGTGTGAGCGGAGACCCAGTCACAGCAAGCAACCCCTTGTTCTGGGCGGCATCACCGAACAAGCACATCTGGCGCGCGAAATCTTGGTGAAGTCCAAAGGAATTCGCGTCTGCGTATGCTATGATCGATATGGCCCCCACATCGGGGCGCTGGAGGAAGTTCGCGAGTCTATCCAACTGCGCGAAATGCTTCCTCGCTAATTCGTCCTGCCACTCTGAAGCAGCGCGCTGAACAGCGGGATTCCGGTGTACACTTCTGGAGTCAATCCAAGTGTTGCCGACGAACCCGTGCTTCCCCCACACGTCGTTGCCGGCATACGACACCACGATAACCGCTGGGGCACGCCGTTCCCGGCTGCGTCGTCGGACATTGTTTAGGCAGCTCTCGATCTCGTCGTTGATCTGCTCGAGCCCCTTGCCCCAACGCATCCCGTACTGGACCGATGCCGCAGTCTCGCGCAAGCCGCTGGGATC